AGCAAAAGAATGATTGGGTGTCCATATAACTTAACATAGTTACATTTGGCCAATAATCGTTCGGACAACAATGAATACATAAATAACTATTAGGTAACTAATGAGCATATTATTATTTCACTATCTTACAGAATCTGAATCGGAGGAAGAGCAGAAGTTAGGCGACTAACAATTATATTGAGAGCGCAGTCTATTATATCGGCATTAAAACAAATTTTGCAACTATACGGAGCCGCTATCATCCATTATATATATGTTTATCAATATATATATATATATACCCATATGTATATGTATTTCGCATTAACAGCCAACCGAACTACACTCCCCTTTGGAAGATTTTCCTAGATGTTAAAGAAAAAATACATACCCCCATTGACTCTGCGTCGCGATTTAGAGAGATAGGAGAGCGCCAAGCCACAAAATTCAAAATTTACTGTACACCGTTTAATGTTTCAAAACTACTTTCTCAATTTCAAAATGTGCACTTAAAATTGTTAAATTTATTTAATTTTGAGCAATATTTAAGTGTATTTCACAAAAAAAAATAAGAACTTATAACTGGACAAATTATTTATACATATTTATAATTGTGCGAAAAAATCTTGTTATGCTTCAGTCACATCTGAGAAGAAAAAGCAACACACACATTTAATGTATTTCTCTCATTTTAAAGTCAGGAAGGAATGATTTTTGAAAAACTGGTCAGAACTTTTAGATAAATTGTGAATGCAATTTAAGCAGTTAGACATCGATATTAAAGACAAGCTAAAACGGACCATCTTGAGGAGATGAAAAATATATAATAAATAAAACATACATCTCAACTGAAATTTGGGAGGGATTATGAATTTCGAAAAGGAAATCGCATGAAAAACAATATACATACATTAAAATATACAATTAAAGCAAACAAATTGAAACACACAACTGAAACTTGTTTTATTATTTTCGACGCGTGGGAAATTTTGAAATTGGACTATGTTTTAATTATAATTCAAGCTTTATTTTTACTTTACCTTTTATATTGAATGCTTACAACTCCAGAGGTGGTGTATTATGTAAATAGACGAATAGAAAGCGCCAAAATAATCCAAGGCAGCCCAGCTCAATTCCACACTAATCAGTATTTTATGTTCTACACAAATATCTGTCCCATCATTGATGTCCCAATCAATTATGCTTTATAAAGAAACAGGCCTACCAAAAATGCAATGAGATAAGATAGGCTTTTTTCTAAATAGACGGATTACCAATATTGCTATGAAGCTTCCAGCCCATTAAAAATGGTAAATCGGTATAATGTTCTTACCATGTACTGAATATGGCTTATCAGCTGCATTAAACCCTGGCAGTTCTTTCCTTCTATATTTCTACTAATATGTAGAGTATATTTTGGGTGCGCTATTTGGATGCCAAGATATAATAGTTTAGTTATTTCATTAACCACAGTAAGTGGTTATATTAAATTAAATGAAGCTGTTAGCTTCAAATTTTCTAAACATAAGTCTACTGTATCTAAGAACGCACTATTCGAAGTTGCTATATTTAAAATATGTTTTCAAGTAAGCATACTTGGGTCGGAAGCTAATTTTTTTTACTATTTTAAGTAGCGTTGTTAATATTAGAGTGAAGACTTTTGGTTTGTTTTTGGAAATACTGTTTTTATTCAACATAAATTTTGTTTAAGTTTAAAAGTAATTTTGTTGCATTTGCATTTCATTTTACTCATAATATTGCATATGCTACTGATTTTATTGTTTTTGTTGTATGCTAAAGATGTTTTTTTATATTGTGTTTTGTTTATTTATGAACACTCAAACATTTAAAATACATTTTTGTTTTCTTTCTAGAGCCAGATATGAAAGTTCGGTTTATAAAGCAAATATGCAACAGCAGCAGCGACAGCCATATATAAATTGTTCTTAATAATTTCCATTTTTGTATTTTTACTTTCATATTATAATATATTTGTATATGTATTGTTGTATATGATTTGGAATTGGAAGCAGGTAAAACATTGAGGGTATTTTAAAAGTTTAACAAATTTAGCTACTTGGCCGCTTGGCAATACTTCTTTAACGGATGATGCGTGCTTTCGATGATGTAACTGTGTATTCGCATATTCATTTGTATTTGATCTCGAGTTCAAATATTCAACAACAGACATTGCGTTCAACATGTGCCAGTTGCAAGGACGCAGGCGCACATTGTCGGCGAGCCAGCGAAATGTGAACGAAATGAATTTCGGTGACGAGCAGACAATAATGCTGAGTATGCGCATGCAGCCTTTAAGTGGCACATACATTTGTTGATTGATGGATTGACTGATGAAAATAGCTGCCGCTGTGCTCGCACATTGCGATTGAATAACATTTCTACAATATAACAGAATAACAATAGTAAACAAATAGGAAATTACAAATAAAAATGTACAACAAAAATTACAAGGACATAATAGTGTAGCATTAAACACGAAAAGAAAAATGGATCGCAATTTGTTGAGGAATGTTATTATGATTAGCTTATATTGTTAACGCCGGTAAGTTCATAAAAAAAGACTAACTTTAAGAAACTCTTTAACGGATTTGAATGCACTTAGAACTTTTGCTTTATCTGAAATATACTCTATTGTAATAGATGGCAAATATGCAAGTACGTATAACGCATAATTGTAGCTTACATATATGACCAAAAGGTTTTTGCTTCACTAAAAAAAAGACAACGGCAATAATAATTATAATAGGCATAATTTTGTTAAATGAGTTCAAGAGTATGAGCTTTCTTTTTCCTCAATTTTTAGTTTTTTTTTCCTCTTTTGTGGTTGTTATTATTGTTGGTATTATAAGCTTGAACTTTTTTGTTGGTATTGTTTTCTTTTCTTTTACTGTTTTTTTACACTTAAAGAAGAATTTTAGTCAGTGAATTTGCGATTGACGTTGCGGCCGAACAGGGCGTTGCGGATCTCTGGCACAAGTTGCTGCGAAATCAATGCTAATCTGGACTCCAGAGTATTTGGCACCTGCAAAAATAATCAGGTCCATCAACGAGACTTATGTATCGACTAAAACTATTTCTACGCACCTTGATGCGTCCGTTCAAGGCAAACAGCTCAACACCGCCGCAGGTATCGGCTGGCAGAAAATCTTTCTCATCAATAACAATTTCAACGTCCTGTTTCATTGCGGCTTTGTACTGCTCAGCAGATGTTGGGATTACATCCCGGACGAGGGGTACATCAACTTGACGGCAGCGTAGGATTACTTTAGGTTCCATCACCTGATACAGGCCCTGCACAATCAGTTTGCTTAGCACAGCCTTGTATTCGCTCTCGTTCTTGGTGACTTCACCGAGACGTTTGCGTGCATCATCGAGCACACTGCTTACGTGATCCTCACGCACTTTGAGCACCTATAAGCATGAGCATATAAATATTAGATTCCATCTTTTATGTGGAACTTGGATTAACCGACCTTCAAGCGGGCTTGGTTGAGCATATTTGAGGATTGGATTTTCTTTTGCAGCTCAACCTGCTTCTCCTTCTTCTCGTAGTACTCCATTATCTTGAGACGCTGTTGCTGGACAAGACGTCCCTTCTCGATATTGAATTCTTCCTCGGCTTTGGCATCAATCTCTTCCGCTTTCTCATTGGCCTCTTGCTCAATGAATGCCATCATATGGTTGATCTTCAACGGAAGTGTATTTAAATTAAGGTATAAGAACAATGTTTGTAAAGAACACCAATAACGGATTTAGTAAAGCTTAGTGTTCAAACAAACCATAAAGCCAATCACATGATTACTTATATCTAGACATATGTATTTGTGTGCATCACAGACTCCATTAGCAGTTGTTTCCTGGCACAAACTTTGGCATTAACCATTAGTAAATATTATGTTTTTACTTTCTGTAAAAATATTTAATGGCATTGATAAGGCGCGACAAGTGCATTTACAGACAAGTCGTGTGACTGCGTTGGCAATAGCGCGCTCGGTGCGCTAGTCGTCTCGCTTTAGCACACAGCAGACAGCAAATGTAATGTCTGTCACATGACCATAAGCATTTTGGATTTTGCGTAAAGTTTTTAACAATTGTTTTTTTTTTTCGTCCACCGAAACATAAAACCCATACTTTATTTCTAATACATACTTTTTTTAGTATATACACATCACTTGATAAACGACTATGCAAATTCAATTTTTAAATTTTTAACTGAAAAAAATTTGCACGCAAAATTCACATGACTACGGCGAGAATCCCATGACTTCGCCATCTTTTTTGCTGCCGAATCCGTGGCATTTGAATTCTAATGCTCACTTGGAGAAACAATTATTTCATATATCTAACTTCCCCAAATGCATTGTACAATTAAATAATTTTCGAGTAACACTTATATTTACCTGTTTTTGTACATCAGCATCGCTCAAAGCCATCTTGACTGATTTTTCTCACTTGCCACAAAATCGAAATAGAAATTCAATAGTTCCGAAGGAATTCACGTACTACCGTGCCTGTAATTATATGTAGCTCTTTAATTAATATCTTAATTATACAACACACCAGATAAAGTCAAATATTAAATTAAATTTAACACGAAACTAAAACGAAACGAAGATGTACTTGCAGTGTGTGTGCCTTCTGCCCGTCGTCTGAAATTTTCACTACCACAAATCGATCATATGATTTTTACTTCGTGATGCGCAGTGCTGTAAAATACCCAAATGCGGAGCAATCATTAGTCGCAAATATCGATATGAATATATATATATATATCGATTTATATAAGTATCAGCTGTAAAGCAAACAATCGATTTAGCATTCGATTAGAATCGTTAAAAAATATATTTATAATAGCTAAAATAAAAAATATATAATTGTATGTATATAAATACTATGCCTTCAAAATAGAAGTCTATTTCTTATATAGCGTACAAACTCGATACCAATATATATCGACTGTTTATTCTAAATTGTCATCACTAGTATCGATACATAAAGTGCAGCTCTTTAGTACGTATGTACACACGCTATTTTGTGAAAATTTGTTGTTTTAAATAA